GGGGGCACCACGTGGAGGTAAGTCTATCGCACACCCCTCTAAGGTTAAAATAATTCTCCAGAATCAGAATAAGAAGGTTAGTATGAAATAAATATAACTCAAAGATATGATTATTTTTTTCCTATCGTTATCTGATTTGGATTAGCCTAAAGCAACAAGAAGGAGATATCATAGGCAGGCCAAGTGAAAAGTCGCTGAAGTGTTGTCCGAGTTACAAGCTCTACCATTGATGATATTGAAGAATTTATCCCAGAGAGCTTACAAAAGAGATGTACGAAGAGTATTCTCTAGATTTGAAAGACTTATTTTACAAACCTATTTCCCTTTATTTTCAATAAAATTTCGAATCGCTGGCTAAAATTGTTCAATATTTTCAATTAATAATGCTATTAGTGCAGAGTTTCTTTTCTTGACAAGTTAGGAAACTATTAATAGTGAATGTTAAATAATAATCGCTGAAAATCTGAAACATTAATCAGTTTCATTTAACGCAAAAGAAGGTCCTTTTACTTTCTGTCATTTAAAATCTCAAATTTTATCATCATTAAAATTTAAATAAACAAACAAAACTGGTTACTCATGCTAAAGCACATAACCAATTATAAAGGTTTATAAGTGTTCGAAAGTCCAATGAGGATTGGTATATATACATATATATATACATATATATATTTATGTATATATATGGGTCTTATACATCTTTGAACTTAATCATAAGATGTCAAGAGCCAAGAAGAACCCTAAAGATGATAAGCAGTATGAAAAGGTTGAACACAAAACTATGGCGGTTACTGCTTCTGCTGTTGGTGATCCAAACGTAGTCAACTGTTTAATTTACAATGTAAGTTTATTTGAAGGAATAAATTTCCATAGAGCTACATGGATAGCCACAGGACTACAAAATACACTTACGATATCAGTGTAACCGATGGTAACGCTGGACGAGGAGGAGCCGTTGCGGATTTGATTCTTGCAGTTTATGACGTTGGAGATTACAGAACTGTCGACTATTTGCGACAATATGTAATTCTAAGCCGTAACTCATGCATTGCCCTTTCTAGACATTGCCATCTCTCGGACGATTAGATAATTTAGTGATTCTTGGAATAAGAGCTGAATGTCGCTTATACCGTGACTCCTTTGCAGCACCATATGGTACCCTTCGAAGCTTAATGCAACAAGGCAGATGTCCAGGTACCGAAATTTTCCATTGTGGTGGTGTGAGTTTCCTTACTTTCTAATCTGTAATAGCAAGGATTTGACATAAACTATAGAATATCTAATTAATTCACAGCCACAAGCAGCCTCGGCTATTTTTGCTTTGTACGGCCGTGTGAACCCAGAACCATTCGAAAATGACAAAAACAAGAAGAAAAAGTAGTCATTTTTTGCCTTTTTCTCCATGGTCTCTACAGTACGCAATTAATTTATGTACTCCCACAATTATTCGAATTCCATCAGAAAATCTTGAATAAATTATTAATATATATTTTACTATTTATGTTTGATTTGGTGTCATTCTATATTTATTTAAAAGATTAATTTTGTAGTTAAATAAACACTGGGGCAACTCTAGTGCTGTCTTATTTGGCTGAAAATAGGGGGAGAAATGTAAATTGACGTTCAATAATTAAGAATTATAAACGACAACCCTGCCAACCTAGTGAGAGTTATTATTGGAATTAAACACAACCAATTTACCGTGAAATCACGTCCTGTGGAGTTGGCCGTTTAGAAAACCCAATAAGCGACGATGGGTACCTATCTCATGGTAAATGTGTATTAATGAGGACTGCGACATTGGACTATTGACGAATTAAAAGCCAACCAGTACTCCATCGGCCATTGGGAGACTCTAATGCTTACGATGGGCACCTAAGTATTCTAATTAACAATAACATATCGAAATGCCTACGACTTGGCAGAAGTTGTGAATTTCTACAGTCAAAGCAGACGTATTTGGTAAGCGAATTTTTATATGAGATCTGAGAACATAGTAACAATAAATTTGGGAAGTAGGGATGAGATATTTCTCTCTATATCTAAGGCAGAGTTTAAAATTGATAGACTTTTCCCAATTTATATTTCATCAAGTATGCTCCAAGTATCCTCAAATAGTCTAGATGGATTGTTTTGCACAGGAGCACGCTTGCATGAATCCCCAGAAATTTAGTTACTTACTGGGCCTTCTAATTTGGGAGCGTTTCAGGATGGCATTCTCAACCTTATTTACAGAAAGCCTTCTACATTCTATTATTTTCTAATGTATTTTTGTAAGTAACTAGGTATACAATAATCAAAGACCTCAAAATCCTAAAGACGTCATGACTACTCGGAACAAATTATCGTTCATATTTGATATATATATATATATATATATATATATATATATATATATATATATATATTTCTCCTTCCAATAATGATAATCGAATACTAAATGAATCAAATGAACAGAACTCCCCCNCCCCACCCTTACCCCCCCCCTCCCCCAAGAGAAGAAGGCATGCCTTTTCTAGAATTGAAGAAAGGCAATCTTATATCGTTCAGATAAGGATCTTCTATCGCTTTCGCCAGTCTTATTTGTGCTTGTTAATCAGTACAGTTATTTGTAAAGTTGCTATTTGATTGTTATTTGATATCGTTTATCTCTTTATGAAGTTTAAAATTTATCCAGGGCTACTTAATGTAGCTTAAAAGATATTTAATCGCATTGAATTTAATTTATTTCCATTTATCTATCACTCATGATTTATTTTTCTTATAATTTATTAGTCAAGAAATGTATTTTTTGCGAGTAATTTAAATTGACACTTGAAAAAATTGCACAAACACAGGAAAATTTAAAAAATTTTGATATTACAAGCATCCAAAATGACACTTTTAAGGCTATGCTTTCGATAAAAGCGTGAATAAGCGTTATATTCTCTTATTCAGTCCTTTCAACGTTACGCTCCTTTTAATAAAAGGAGTCTAATAGTATTAGGATAGGAACGAACAATATTTTTTTATTATGCCCGAAAATACTAACTGAAAAAAGTGTCGCCGACAGCAAACTTTTTATAATAAAATGCAGTTTCATTCCTGAACATAATTTTAACCCCTCAGATAAGAGCAATGCTCTACACACAATTTATATTGTTTATTTTTTCCAACTATTTCTGCGAAGTATTTTTATAACTGTGCATTTTGAGTTAATTTTCCTCATCAATGCAGTAAATCAATTTACTAGTTTAGGAAAAAAACAATCGCATTTAGGCATAATTTAGCATATAAAGTATCTCGAAAGCAATAAATTTAAAGGATAAATGTCGGCGCAAATCGAGCCTCTGACTCAACTATAAAAAAATTAGCGAGTGAGGGACTTAAAATCGCATTAGGTATTAGTCAGTCAATCAATTGAAATAATGATTGACGCATTGCGAATGTAAGAACTGCGCTGTTTGGAAACGCAAACATCGTTACGCAGAGGGTTAAATTTATACGCCCAGTAGTAGCTAAAAATGCAAATAATGTTGTTGTTGAAAAGTATGGACAGATTCATTACCGGATCGAAAATAACGTTCTCACAATCAACCAGATATTTCCGAGGGCTATTTTGCTCATCCTTACCAATTTCTTTATTCAATGCGTATTATTACAATATCTGTGCATTTCCAGGCTCCCCTAATAAGTGGCAATCTCTAAAAAATTAAGACTCACTCCATCTGTACGATATTTAAACAAACAATGTACACACCGAGACCTACATCAGGATTCGGCCATGATACTGCATTGTAAACTATACTTATTTTCTTTAAAGAGATATCAATCTGCTGTAGAAATTAATGGCAAGATTAGATGAACATACGTCTTACCTGGTACATTGGTAACCGCAGTACCCTCCAGTGACCGCGTGCCACAACCGAAAAATTAATCATCTTTCCAGTTTCTCTGGTTCTTCTGTCTTTTATCTTTATTATCTTTTGGAGGCATTTTAAACTCTCTCTCTCTCTTCAATATTCTGATTTTCGACCTTTTAAATTCATAAAACGTGTGATGGGTACTATTGTTAAATATGGCTATTTTTTTGTGCCCTCCTCCAAACTCACCTATACTTGGAAGCATGAACTTGTCCAGCTACAGACCTTTTAAATAAACCGCTTTCGTAAAGATAATTATTAAAATTATAACTAAGTAAATACGAATGTTATCAATAGTGAATAAATGAGTTGAAAGATAGCTATCCCTCCATGTTCAGTTAGAAAGTAAAAAACATTTTCCGGTATATTAAAATATTAAAAAAATTAGTTCATTAACATGTTTAACAGACTTTTTCTTTGGTTCGTTCAAAGCCCTTTTCCTTTGCCTTATGCTGACTCCTTTTCTTTCGTTTGCCTATTTCATTTCCAGGCGCGTCATCCACTTTTTTCTCTTTATCTGGCTTTTGGAATACGTCTCGATTCATTGTGGCGTAGAGGGCAAATAATCCAGCCGCCATGGCTGGCTATAAACCAATGAAGTGTAAGTTGAAGGTCAACATACCCCACTACAGGTAACGACTTCTGTTCCTCGACAGTTCCACAGCCTGGCAAGTCGATTGCAGGTATTAATATCCGTCTCATTCTCTGCTCGAGTTTCTGTTCGATTCTCAAGCCCTGTTCCACAAATGGCAAGGATTTCGTGTTCTTGTCTGAAATGGGGGAGAACCTATGGAAAATAGCTGTTAGAGGGAAAATAAGTTTCAACTTACATTTTGTGTTAAATATTCGACAGTGCTATTATCGCAAACGTCGTAAACGGCCAATATCAGATCAGCATTGGCAGTATTTGATCTTCCATAATAACCATTCGCTTCTATTGCAATGATATTGGTTTCATGAGTTAGGGTTGAAATCCTACACTCAGAAAACTAAGGAGAGGAAAAAATGAGAGAAGCCGAAACATACTTTTTCAATAACCCTGTCGACGACCTCAGGAGCCCCTACAACTGCAACCAGGATGTCCACCTGTCGCCGTTGGGCATCGGGAGGTGTACTTGAGGTACTGGGACCGGGTTTGTTCTCTTTCTTCTCAGATTTAACTTTCCGTGTTTTTGGTGCCATTATAGCGAAATAATTTACTAAATTCCGAAGTGCAGAGTGATGCTTTATAGGCATAACTCCGAAATAACTGACTGACAGGCTTATTAATGTAGCAATGCTAGTTCTATTGGATAACAGATTACTTCATGAGTATGTCCATTTATTGGTTTCAATATTATCAAGTTCACGATTGGTCTTAGGGTAAATTCCACACCATCTTTACAGATTGTCAGTCTAATTAGTTATTTTCTATTAATTTCTACAAATATCAATTTGAACGATTCACTGTTAGGGACAATGCACTTATGAAATTAGCGCTATTAGTAGCGTTTATGAAGTTTAAAAAGGTAATTTGAATGATACGTCAAATGAATTAATTTATTTAGTAGATTAATTATTGCAACATCTTTCGCTTTTCACTTTTCATTTTCTTGGGTATTTCTACTGGTTCACCGGTAGGAGTCAATGAGATATCAGATGATGTTGTGGGTTTTTCTGTCTTCCATTGAAGAAGATGGGGAAGGACTGCTGAGTATAGCGCGAATGTACAAAATGTAAGTAGTTTCTAAAATGTAAACACACTAGTTTAGACTACCTTGCTGTTTCAAAATCTATATAGCCTCCAAAAAGGATGAAAATTGAACAAATCAACATAATTTTTTTAAATGTTATCATTAATTAAATTTCTGGAAGTTGTCTTGAATTAATGTTGAAAACACTGAAGATAAAATCTAACCAATTAGATACAGTCAATTTCTAATTATGAATTAGGAAACTAATTAATCTTTAGTTGGTGGACCTTACACCATCACAGCACATAAACTCAGTAGATTTGCAATCGAATGATTTGCCCAATTGACAAGCTGTCTGAATATCCACCAATCCCTTTTCGACACCGCACCTACACTCCAATCCAAGACCAGCAATGGCCATTGGCTTTCGTAGCTTTTTCACACTGGGTAATACCTAGAGCCAATTGGAAGTCAGAATTTGAGCGAATGTGTACCCTTTCCCTCAAGAATCTCACCGTCTCGGGTTTTCTTACATCGTACACACAGAGGAAGACCTCTGCTTCTGAGAAGGACATTTTACCAAATGAGTCGTTTCCTCTGGAAGAAGTGACACGAATTCTCACATTATCCACCTGGATATCTATTTTAGGATGCTGAAATGGTCAATAGTACTATATAAGTCAATTACCATATTTAGATACAAATCCACAGCATCGGGGTGACCACAAATAACCGGATACAGGTGTATAGTCTTGATCTCAATTCGCTTCCGTGTGTGTTTTGAACTGCCCTCCTGCCGACCATTCGTAACTTTCTCCACTTCCTGAATTTTTGAATTGTACCCCAAATACTTTTTCAGTCGGCTTGGCTCTTTCTTCTTTCTGAACGCCATAGAATGCTGTTATTACTTAGGATCTTCATTGATAAGCTTTCCTTTTATGTCAATTGCAAAGTTTAGTTCATTGGTTTTAAATTGAATTGAAACTGCGCATGTCCGTTGCTTTAGAAATGATTGGACCTTGAACTAGGTGATCACAGCAGTTCTCATCAAGCCGGTTAAATGCGTCGCTTCAAGAATTTGAGATTTATCTATGATATGCTGTTATGCCTCTTACTCTCACACAATACAATGTGTGAAAAACTTCGACTTAGCAAACTGTGCTTTTATGACCCTATGCGTAAATCTTTATCTTTTACAAGACTTCCTCGGTTGCTATATTTACGACGAGGTGGTCAGTATCTTTGTCTTAATTTCATCAAAAATCTGATTTCCTTCAGATAAATTTCATTCTTGAAACCTCGATTAGGCCCATATGATAAATATGGTCGATCGGTTTATATCTTAATTGGTTATAAGGTATTCAACTAGATTTGCCAGGAGAATCAGTAAGTAGAAGGCTTCGATGCCCCGGCTTCCAATATGACCTGAAAATAACATTGGAGGTTGGATGTTTATATTTATAACTTACAAATCTGAAAAACACAAAATACTCCTGTAATTGAGGCGTCTGTCGAAGTCAGTTAAAGTTCGCTGGTTGACTTTTAAAAGTTTTAAATGAAAAGTTGTACCAACATAAACAGAAGCTATTGCTTAAAAGCACTTTCTAAATCGGAAAGTTCTCAAACTAACTTAAATTTTTGCCAATTGCATTAGAAAATATTTCATCGCCGAGCACGTTCAATGCATTTCACTGACTAAGCTCTAGACAGGTCCACATCTCAGTTAAACTTGTTCCACATCGTACTTCAACTTGAACCACATTGTTAAGGGGGATCTTGCCGTAAGCATTACTGAGAACGAATCAATATATATATGTATATATATATATATTTGATTTCAGGGACATCAATGTCCCATTAATTTGCTTCAAAATCCATTAAACTGTTCTAGATTAACACTTAAATTTGGAATTAAAATGAAGGTTTTAAATATCGAGTTAACATAAGCGATAGCAGTTGAACTACAAGCAAATAGAACATTCTTATATTTGTTTAACTGGTAAATGAAACAATTATTTATTTATTTATATCAAATGGCAGCCTTTATGATAGTTATCATTAGCCCTTTAGTTGACTTCAGGCTTCATAGAGAGGAAGGCACATCAAATTGAAAAAGCCCAGGGGGGTGGACAGAAGAGTGTTCAAAGATATTGAAAAGACAGACAGATACAAGGGCAAAGAAAAGGTAGGATAAGTATGGTGGAAGTGATTGAATATGACATACAGTAGGGTCATGGGAGTTTGAAGTCAGAAGTCACCTGCCGATAAATAGACTTTTTTGCCGTATGAGTATATGTTGCCCAGGGTGCACCACGTGGAGGTAAGTCTATCGCACACCCCTAATTAAATGAAACAATAAACTATGAAATTTGATCATTGATAAGTAGGAAACGACGAAAAATTATCAATTAGATATTTGAAATTTTTTTCATGTCAAAGCGCATTATCATTGCTTATCGGCATGAGCAGAAAATCCATAAATCCATTAATTAATTTCATCATTGGTTCTTCATAAGTTATTCCACCCTACGTTACCCTATTTTGTGCGTTTTCCCGCTTCGAAAAAATGTACTTTTGCCATTGCTGTGGCTTACAAGAATAGTCAGGAACCTGAGAATCATGGGTACCTGCCAAGTGGACTTAAAATAAACAAGAGTTGGAAGTAGACAAAATGCAGTATTTCAATGCGTAAAACTTATCACTCAGATGACCTCATACACTACGTGTATATATATTAATAGAAAGATTAGGCAGTTGTGGACCAGCAAACCGGAGAAAAATTCCTTTTTCCTTACATGGGGCTCACGAAATACTCTTGGATTTTAACACCAGGAAGACATAGTGCTCACAAAAATTCGAATGACTGTTCAACCAACTGGGGTGGCAAATGTTGGTAAGGACAGAGGAAATGGAGGAATTTTTCCCCATGCACAGGATGAGTTTTAAAATGCGCATTCCCTTAACGGAATTCGGCGTAATTATTTCTTGGGTTTAAATTGTCACGACAAAATACTGTAAAGCATTATAATTTAAAGGTCTATCCTTTCTACTTTAATGAAATCGACAATGGCACCATTCATGCCAAATTGAACTTAATGAAATTAAGTGAGGGGTGTGCGATAAACTTACCTCCACGTGGTGCACCCTGGGCAACGTATACTCATACGGCAAAAAGCCTATAAACCGGTAGTTGACTTCTGACTTCAAACTATCATGGCCCAACTGCTTGTCATATTCGACCCCTTCCACAGTACTCATCTTACCTTTCCTCTGCCTTTTTGTCTGTCTGTCTGCCTGTCTCTGTTACATCTATGAATCATTATTCTGCCCCCCCCCTATCGACTTTTTGTCACTTTGATGTTCCTCCTCCTCCTCTCTGTGAAGCCCGAAGTCAGCTAAAGGGCTAATGATAACTATCAAAACGCCTGCTATTTGAAATAAATAAATATATGATTAAATTGTTTGCCCTGCTTTACTCCGGATTATTCCTCTTCATCTTCCGATCTCCATTTACGCGAACTTAGCAATTGCTTATTCAGTAGTTTTAAAGTTTTATAACTACTGACTACGCAAAATTTCTGAAAATGTTACGGGTTCTAACAGCTATTTGAGTCTGAAAGTGAGCATGAAGCTCCATAAAGTGTGATTAGTTTAGAGTGCGGGCAAGTGCATTATTTACCCTATATCTGTACTGAGTATACCGAGGAATGTATCAAGCCTGCTTCACTTCAATATTATACTACCCATCTGGCAATAACGATCTTTTAGCCCGTTACTCGAATATTTGTCAAGATCCTTAAGCAGAACATAAATGCTGGGATATTCAAGACTTACATCTTGACATGGTACGTCCACTATGCTTAAGCCTCCAATGTCATAGGCGCACTTATACAGATCTACATCCATATCTTAACTAAATCCTTTGAATCATTGCCGTGCATGGGATCATGTACCAACCTGATTGGTTGATGAATCAGTTCTCTGTCTGAGTAAATTTTGATGGCACTCGCAACATCACAAATAACTACTTCCAAAACGGTTTTACGAGTATCGCCTTTACTTAGCTGTTGGCCACTTCTTAAAGACACAGCATTCTCCTGCTCTCATTGCCCACTTTACAGTCAGTAGGATTGGGTGTGATTGGCAGCATTGGAAATTCTCTAATCGTCCACTAGCATAGCATACCTAGTGCTTAACTTCGTTAATTATAATCCATGTTGAGCCCCTTGTAAGAGTCCCTTCGGCAGGAGTGTTTGCTTTCTGAAGGAGATAATTTATGATCTTTTGAAAAGTGATAATTAGTGCTGTCATTCAGTGACGGTTTAGTAAAAGCCAGTGAGTTCCATCTTCTTAATTCAACGACTTTGGTTAGGTAAATTCTCTTTGATAGGGATTATTGCTTATGATGGATTAAGTCATTTGTCTTTTCTCAGGGAGCATTCACCCTTTTTTGATGTTTGAGATCGTCCCCCTTCTCAATCTCTCTGTTAGATTATACTAAGTCAAACTTATTTTAATTAAACCAGCTTGATGCCCTATTTGAATAAGCAAAATAGATTTCGGGTGGGAAAATCTATTGTTTGAAATAAACTCTCCTACATCTGACAAACGCATTCGCGCTCTTTAAAGTGAGTGTTATTTTTGTTCACTGTGTCTTCTTGGCTCTTCCACTCCCTCCCAAATGTTACCTTTACTTGATCCGTTCCTTAACTTACTTGCTACCAGTAGATTTATTAAATCACACATTTTTGAGCAATATTTCACTCTTTCACAGCAAGATGAGGAGAGGGCATGGCTTTGAAGGTAACTATGCGTTAGTGTTTTGAGTCGCCGATTGATTTGATCATAGAAGGGGGTTTTAAAGTGCTAAGGGTGGGCAGGAATATCTGCTCAACAGAAAGTCAATCCATTCATGCAGCAACTCGGATCACTTCACGCCCATGCTGGGGGAATCATATGGGGTATTCAGAGTTCAATAAAGCGCAATATTCCTTACGATAAAGAAGGCTGTAACGCTTTAATTCATGACATCACATTGTGAATTATCATTAATTTGAATTTTCCTTCTGTTCCATTCTCCAACCCCTTATTTGACTGGCTGCCTCTTTTTGACCACTCTGCCCTCAAGTGTTCACATATTTTCGAGCCAAGGAATATTATCTTCGAACACAGTTATTAAAAATATTCCCAATCATCATTAAAGACTAAATCAAAACCAATCAAGATTTTCCAGTACGATCCTTCATGGGAGCATCATGTCGGGCTGATGAAAATAGACTTAAGGGTCTCCTGATTACTTCGTCAAGGGTAACCTTGGGACTACGCTCTCGCAGAGATGCGTTGATGCTAGGAATGAATGTAAGGATGGTTCTTCTTAGAAAAAAGTGAAGACAGAAAAAACCCCCTTTAGGGGTGCTATGCTATGTTTCTTAGACTTCTTTAGAGTCACCAGATAAAATGTGATAAAGAAATAAAACATACACATGGACTATATCGAGTTGAATAAACCAGGACCCTAAGGAAGAATGTGGTGTGGCGGGATTCAAGTCACTTGTTCTCCCTCAAGTTACGTAATATTACCAAAAGAAAATACAAATAAGAATAGTGAAATGCGGCTTTGTCAGTTATATTCCAATGTTCACAAAATTAAATTCGTGTTTTTGCACATCGAGGGGGACCCCTACTCCGTGGACATAAGTCAGAATCGAATTAGCAAGCTCAGCTTTCAGGCACTTTAAATCGTTGTAAATTTGTGTTCAATCAGTTCATTGAATATCTTGAGCTCAAACTTAGTTGTAAAATAAGTAAGAATTTCATGAGTTGAATTGTTTCGTTCTCTATGCACTTAAAACCTTGAAGCTATGCTTCCATATTGATAATATTACGAAAGCTCAAGGAAATGGAATTGTTGTCCTCTCTCTCTCTCTCTCTCCCTTGATAAACACTTTTTTCAGGCTGTCTTCGAGTCGTCTTTCAATAATACCATTGATTCTGATAGCTTGACAGCTATTTGAAACAACAATTTTTAGCCCTTAGGCCTCAAAATTCCCAGTACTAGGACAGGTGTCTTTGTGAAGTTGTCAAAGCGCTTTGGAGAAGCCCTGGGACCCTAGAACTAATTCAAAGGACTGATGAATACTGGCGGTATTTAGGTGAAACTAACATTCGTTCTAAATCAGCTATTAATTACATCTTTTGTAAGATTTATCATTTCCACCTTTTTATTTTACTTAATTGAATTAGCCAATCTTCCCGTTGTGAGGGTAGTCGATAGAAATAGAACTTTCCATGCCCCGAATATTTCTATTTAATTATTATAATAAGTGCTATTAGATAATAACGAGGTAACATATCTAGTGTTGGTAATATTTTATTGTTGGAAAGTCTGAAAAAATAGCAATTAACAATTCTCCAACAGCACAGCTTTGCTCTCATCTGAAGACAACCATCATATGAAGTCGTGAATTAGCATTGAATTTATTTATTGAATTAAGGCAACTCTCCAACAAGTAGGTTAAGGCAAATTAGAAGGGTTTATATTGTCTCCACTAAGCCATTTTACATCCCATAACTCCACTATGATTAAATTATCCTTTTAATTAGACGGCCAGGCTCTCATCGTGATTAACCTACCAATAATCCAATCAACGCACCAATAACACTGCCGATTAAGCTTCTACTGGGTCCTATATAAGTCATGTTTAATAATAACTGTAGACACGGGCCTTAACAATGGTGCTAGTAGGAAAGAAGGCACGAGAAAAGAAGGCAAAAAAGGAGAAAGCCCTACTAGAAGTGAAATCTGAAAGAGAGGAAAGAGCGCGTCGAATTAATAAGCAAATAATTCGAGAGCATAGAAGAATCAGTGTTGTCGTCTGTGGGGACACAAAAGCAGTTGATATCTATATGAAGCAGGTAAAAGGGTCGACTTCTTTTGCTTCTTTTTTTAGAGAATGGATTTGAGCACGCCGGTGGATCGCTATCAAGTGTCTATAGATGCTGAAGCGGGTGCAGATCCCAAGGGAAGGATTACTGAAAGGAACTGTGATTTGTACCTTTGCGTTTACGACGTTCGCGATAAAAAAACTGTCGAGTTCTTGAGAAATCGTGTAAGTTTTCAACCTTACGATAATTAGCGAATCAAATTTGTAGGTTATGCCTCAAGTTAAATATTTTAATAAGAAGATAGCTATCGCTGGACTTGGCCTCGAAGCTAGACTCTGTGGAGGCCAAGGTGAAGTTGAGATTGGAACATCCACTCAATTGGCCAAGGAGTATGGATGCCGAGGAAGTGAATTGATCTCCTGCGATCCCGTAAGTTCACTTTAAAAACTTTGAAGAAACAGAGCTATAAAACCTAGTCGATTTCATCCCATTTTAGCATCAGTTGGCAGCTGGAACATTTTCGCTCTATTCGGCATCTTATCCAGAGAAGTTCATGGAAACCAAGCCACTTATTAATAAGTCGGTTGAGCCAGGAACTTCCACATCAGGTAAGGATAAAACCAAAAGAGAGAAAAGAGCCAAGGAAAAGAAGGAAAAAAGCGGCTAAAAGTTTTGTCTGAAAATTTCAATGTCAACCTAACTTCCTGAACTTGGACACAACATTATGTCTACTACTTCTCTATTTTCTTTGTGTTTCATTTTGGTATCTAAAAGTGTTTTAAAAAACTCAATGAAAAACTTTACCTGAGCTTAGATTCAGTGGGGTCCATCGGATTGCTTAGTGCATAAGTGCAGGCAGAGTTCATCTAATAACCTGGTCAATTACTTTCCATACAGGAGTTAAAATATGCCATTCAAAAGGGGAGTGAGTGTTCGCAGATGAATAAGTTAGAAGTGCAATAATAACCTTAGATTTTTTGACTGTTTAGAACATAATTGATATAGTCGTTTACACCTTTTAAAGAAGTTAAGGAAGAAGTCAAATATTTATTTATATCAAATGGCAGGCTTTATGATAGTTATCAATAGTCATTTAGTTGACTTCAAACATCAAAGTCATGAAAGGTCAAGGGGGTGAGAACATAAGAGTGATTCACAGATATAAAAGAGATAGAGAGACACTAAGGTGGAGATCATGGTAATGTGAGTACTGTAGAAGTGGTCGGGTCATAGTGGTGTAATGTCAACTGCCGATTTATAGACTTTTTTGCCGTATGAGTATGGGTTGCCCAGGGTGCACCGCGTGGAGGTAAGTCTATCGCAACAACTGCCGGTTAATAGACTTTTTTGCCGTATGAGTATACGGTGCCCAGGGTGCACCACGTGGAGGTAAGTCTACCGCACACGCAACGTGAAGGTTCGTTCATTCATTGTCGTCCATTGGGGTCTCAGTCTAGCCCTGGAATCTGGAACAAGCTAATTTACACTTTTGGTGAGGAGTATTGCAAAAATTGGGTTTTGGGGGTACTGGGACGACGATTAGTGTCTTTCTCGGCAGTATCCACACCCACACACACGCACATATAATATGACATCTATTTAAAATCGGTGGGATGTGGGTTTTATTGGGGAGGGGGAGGCGGGTGAATCGGAAATGTGTAGCCGTAAAAATGGGCTGACAGTGAATTTTGACTTTCCTCTGAGATATGGCAGGGTTAGGCCGAATTCTATTTCCACCCTACTTGTGACCTATTACCCAGATCTTAAATAACACGATGGTAAACAGTTCCTCATGGGCATCTGAATTCAGGTTAAGTCCCTCTCCGGGGGGGGGGGGGGAGATTGGCTAAATTGAAGATTTATTCGTATTTTAGAGCTTAATTACTACAACAGTAAACAATTCCGCGAGGGCATCTGAATTCTTAAGCTAAGTCCCTCTTGGGAAAAATTGTGGGGAGAGGCATCACATCATCCTCTGTGGGGGATGATGCATATCCGAAATCCATGAGAGTTTGGGTAATTTGAGTCTGCATGGCTCGAGGAGTGCTGTTTGGAGTGATTGCAAGTCCAACTAGTTTGTACTTCAGAGGTCTCTTCGCCTTAATAGAAAATATGCTCGAGGGCCATTTCTATGATACTTGTATGAGCTTGGAGAAAGGTCATGCTTAAATAAAACATGTATTTATTTATTTAAAGAACATAAGTCCATTCATTAGTTTCAATGATGGGCTCTTAAGCGAGCGATTGTTCTTTCAGTACCATCACTTCAAGTTGGTTTCATTTACAATTAATTAAAATAATCTCTTTAACTGCAGTCAGTAAGGACCCCGAGCATTGCCTGCTAAAGACGATGGAATTCGTATGTAGTTCGGGGAGATGGTATTGGTGTTGTATGTTTTTTTAGAGTGACTGGGCTTTATTCCAGGTGGGCGAGTATGTAACTTTGGCGAAAGAGGATCACTTAATATTATTATATCAAATGGCAGGCGTCTTGATGGTTATCATTAGCCCTTTAGTTGACTTCAGGCTTCACAGAGAGGAAGGCACATCAAATTGAAAGAAGTCGAGGGGGGGGGGGAGAGGGAACAGAAGAGCGTTTCAAAGATGTAAATGAGACAGACACAAAGGCAGAAAAAAGGTGAGGTGGGTACTATGGAAGTAGTCGAATATGACATATAGCGAGGTGATTGTAGTTTGAAGTGAGAAATCAACTGCAGTTAATAGACTTTTTTTGCCGTGTGTGCATACGTTGCCCAGGGTGCGCCACGTGGAGGTAAGTCTATTGCACACCCCGGATCACTTAATATCAAGCAAGTTGTTTTATTAACTCAAGCATTCGATTTAGGTAAAGGGCGTATAACTTTCAAAATTAATGCTTCTGAGGAATAAATGTTGGATTGTGAAATGTTGAGACATTGCTCCTTAAGGCAACAGTGCATATTAGTGCAAGTTGTTTTTGGTACCGCTTTATGTATAAGACCTTAATGGCTTAGAGGTATTAAGATAATTTAAAACTCAACTATATTGGCGATTGTAGAGAAATTGTCAATATTAGTTCTCAAGAGTCAAGGATAGTACTTGACTCATTATTTTTAATTTCATATTTAATAAGCCAATTCGCATTGATCTGATAGCAAGAAAAGCCAATCTGAATTTACCGACTTCAAAAAATTAGGCTTCACTCCAATCTTTTCGAACTTAATTTCATCACTAATGTGAAACTTCTTTTCAATTTTAAGACAAAATTTGTGGATTCTATCACAAATAAAGGTAATGCTAACGAATGACTTCTTATTGGATTGGTAGCAAGTTATCCCTCCATGATTCAATAAGTGTGCGAATTTTTCACTAAGCTGTAAGCTGAAATTTGTCCAATTGAAAAACTTTAAGACAATACGATAGAATCTATTTTTTTGCTAGACGGAATTTTTTTCACATTTTGTTGTTATTATTTTGTGAAAGAGTAAAAAAATTTTCCGTTCGACAAAGTTGAAGGTTTCACTTTAAATTAAGGAAGGAGTTCGAGAAGGTTATTGTAAATCCAAAGGAATTACTCGGATAACCAACTAGTTTACAGGAGAATCTTTGGCAATCATTTGAATTGATCGGCAAAGAAAAAGAACCACTATTAAATTAGTTCAGAACGTGTGATGCCAATCTCTCAATTAACAATGAAGCTCTATTTGGCACCTCTCAATCTACCTTCATGAGTCAGGTGCACACTTTTTCAAGTGATTCCCGTCTCTCAGAAGTAAGTTTGGGTAAAGCCTAGTGAGTTTTGTGTGATATTTTGACTCATGTATAAAGCGAACTTATCTTTAAATCGATGTGTGCGTTTTAATTGCTGCTTTCATGTGGAATGAAGATCAAAAAACAGTTTTATCATACCAGTATTAGCTATTTTAGTAAAAATTATAAACACATAAATAAATGGGAAAAGAAGCTCTTGAAAGGAAGAAGGAAGAAACCCAGAGGGAAAGAGAGAGAGGGAGGAAGAGCAGGTGATGGGGTTAATTTAATATGTTGGTCGTTCACTCCTTATTCTTCTTCTTCTTCTTTTTCTTCGTCTTTTCCTTTTTGGTCTTTTCACCTTTTGAGGACTTTTTGTCCTTCTTCTTCTTCTTTTTCTTTTTCTTCCCATCCTCGGGCTGCTCTGAGGTGTGTTGCTTTTGCTGGGGCATGAACACGTCCGCGTTCGCTGCGTAATAGAGAGCTGCGGTGCCCGCAGCTAGTTGGTTCTAATGGGGAAAAATGAGGGGGTTAAGAAGCAGAGGAATTAAAAATAAAGAAAATCACTTACTCCATCACAAGCAACTAATTCCATAGCATTACATCCGTATTTGCCAGCAAGTCTAGAAGCAGTGGTTAAAGAGGCCTCATTTGGATTATTTCCTGCGCGGTTTTCCACACCCAAACCAGCTATTGCATATTTCCTATTGAGAGCTCGTACCTCCGGTAGAATTTTTTGCTCGAGGAATTCCACTGTGTTGCGGTCGGCTACAGTGTACACACAGAGGAAAAGATCGCATGTTTTGTCTATGATTCTCCCCTCTTGGTCTGTTCCTTGATCCGCATCAATCTGAACTTGATATCCATCTACATTGGTGGTATTGGATACCTATTTGATAGCCTCATTGTATTTTATAGTGCATGAGACTTACCCTATTTTTGTACAGCGCAATACTTGCCGGATCTCCACAGACAGAAATTTCAAATTTCAGTACTTCTCGATCGCCCTTCCTCCTGTGTTTCTTCTCCGACTTCTTTTCCTCCTTTTCTTTCTTCGCCTTCTTCTCCTTCTTATCTTTCTTGCTCTTCTTTTCCTTCTTCACCTTTTCTTTCTTTTCTTTTTTAGCCATTGACGAGTATAGACACCTTCAGGTAAATGGACGTCTTCATGGAAATATCTTCATTATATAGGTAACACATTGTGCACCCTGATTGGTAAACAGTTAATGCCTATTATTGGTTCTCAAATAAGTCATTATCTCAGAGGACTCATCTTGTGCGCATAAAAGCTTTGACGCTATGATGTTCTGGCAGGTTCTTTTAATTTAATTGTACTTCAATACTGCTTACACACCCAATTGCGATTTGTAACATGATTCAATCGATATATGCTCACCCCATCACAATAACATCATAGCAAGCCAATTAAGCCAAAAAAGTATAAGAACCACCCAAGTTTGATGTATTTATGCAAGATATTGCCGACTAAGGTTTTTAACTGAGAGCTATTTAACCAAAAGAATATTTAATTAATCCTAGTAAAACTAAGACCATTGTTACCAAAAGGGCCAATTTTCAAGAGGTATCGCCATGATTTTCAATAAACAGTGCAGTGGAACAAGAAGTTTGGAGTGAGGCAAGTAGTCAATTTAATGTATTTTGAAATAAAGGAAGGGAAAAAATTTACTGAGGTGATATATACAGTCGAAAGGAAATCTACTTAAATAGATTGAGTAGATTGATTAAATTGATATCATTAGTTAACGTTCACAAAATCGGTCTTAACCTTCTCCAATTTCTCCTCAGTTTGAGCATCAAGAGGGACATCACGAAGACTTTTAAAACCAGGTCGTTCATTTTCTTCACAAATTAACTGATCTACAACTTGTTCAATAGTGTAAACAAGTCCCTTTTGTGCACGAAGCTCAGTTTTCCGACCAGATTTATCTAGTTCCTCTTCACGAAGGCATTCCTGACGATGCATTTCGCGAAGGATGAAATAAACTCCCAAACTTCGTAGATGAGAACGACCATCCTTCGTTGCGCATAACTATAAGTGAACGAATTAACAAACGGGAAGATTTTATTTACCTGGAGCAGGGATTCACAAAGGGCAATTTTAACCCCAACATCCTCCTCTCTCTTCGCTATTTTTAATTCGTAAACTTCGCGAACTCGATCAGGTAGCTTGCTGCGATCACCTTCAGAGATATCATCACTTTGATCGCATAAGCGCACAAGAACTTCGGACAAAATATCGTTCGATAAAAAACAAATTCGACCATGGTATTCTAATTTAGAGAGTATGATATGCAAAACGATAAAATATTACCTTCTTCAAAAGAACAATTTCTGAAGATTCCAGCAATTGCCATTCGAGATTCTGCGTCGGAAATTTCAGATAAAAGACGAAGAAGTGTAGACAATGCAGACCGTTCTTCACAAATATACCGTCGCATCCTAGCCGACGATGTAAGATTGAGAATGAGCTAATGCATAATAAAACGAATATGGGGACATACTTTCAGTTCCAAACAAGAAGGACTACGTTTGTTAATGAATTTCCCACAAATAATATTCGCGAAAGGTTCATTACAGAAAATATCCACCCATTCAGAAATTGTCGTAAGGTTAACAAGAAGGGAAGTACCAAGGTTTCGCGAATCTTCCTTAACATCAGAAAATGCAAATGAAACTAGGCAGGTAAGAAGATCAACTCTCCGTTTTGCTTTGCTACACTCAAAAAGTCTTTTAGCGAGGTCAGTCCGTGCGCAGAAATTTACGAGACATTTCAAAGTCAAGATAAACATTTCATCCGAAGCTACAGAGATGGTTAGCACAATCAGGCGAATTACCCAGAGAATATGGAGACATTGAGTCATTGGATTCCACAATGACACCAGTAAGAAGATCAAAGTAAGTAGTAAGTTCACCATCAAGCTGAGTGATATATTTATCTTCGCAAGATAATTGTAATAGTGATCTCAGAACCTCGACCCTTTCCATCGTGTAGAGATCAGACATTAAGCATAACGTATCACGTGGGAAATCCTACTCTTATTGGTTAGGCTTCAAGATTTTAACTTTAGACTGGCCATTAAAGTAACACCAAGGAAAGAAAACAAAAAATGTAGAGCTTAAGTAATATATATTTTTAAAAAGGTATATTGATCGTTGGTGTAACGAGTATTGAGAAAATCCTTTTACGCTTTCCCAAAATGAATACATTTCATTGCCCTTTTTAAAAGGCTAGAGAATTATCGCTAATTCAACAGGAAATAGCATGCATTCCCACTGACATACACAAATGCTTGCACTACATCAATAAGTGGAATAAATATAATACCAAATTAAGAAAATACCATCCACTAAGCTTATCTACAATGATTGGCTGAAGTCGTAGTTGATTGATCAATAAGATTTTGTAATGAAACCGTACGAATGCATCCGAAATATCATATTTTCATGTGGTATTTTAGCTAATCCGCTTAAAATATATTTCGAACTGATAAAGTATACGCAATTTGGTAAGCGCCTATTTTCCTCAGATGTGAAAATTCTAGGTAGTTTAAAGTAGAGTGGTATATAAAGATTCCAGATTTTGCCAAACAAACTATAATCTTACTTATTCCAAAAGGCGTTTGGTCTTAAAAGCATGGGTTATTATAACACCGAAAAAGCGTAATAAATAAAACATAACCATTTTATAGAGATGTCCGCTTTTATAAATTTGATCATCTTTTAAACAATTCATGCACTTTAACTTTTAGCTTCTTACATATTTATATTCTATTTAAACGTGAAACAAAAATATTCCACGACTACACTATTGTAATGTGGATCTCCATACGACATGATTTTGGCTCCTTAAATCGTAAAGCATTATGACCAAATTGCTCGCAATCAACATCAAATGTAAAACTGAGCTTTTTTGTTTGTTAAAAATATTTTTTGACTTTGCACAAAGCATTATATTCCTGGACAGAACCGGAGTAATTAGTCAAGTCACATGCGATATTGGAACTCCTTGGAGTTAGTTGGTAAATCATCCTAATCGAATGATAACCAAATTTGGATTTATATGAAACTTATGTCTTTTATCGTCGTCGATATTTCCGTGTGATAAATGTGCATAAAGTACATATCTGTGTCTAATTTATGCTTTTGTCGAGATTTTATGCTAATTCAATTCCGTATTAACAACCTTTAGTTAATAATGACAAAGTATTTTACAATTTAATATTCTCGGCTATTTTCCTTTGGCATAAGTTGTCAAAGGACTAATCAGGGAAATTTCAAACTCCATTATCAACATACGATCACGTTGACTCGAAATTTTTTGGTAAATTCAGAAGAAAGTTGCAATTTCAAGAGCCTTTAATAAAAGGACAGTGATAGACTCTCAAGATTTTTTGCGTCACGCAAATAAATGTCTTTACACCTTCAAATTTCACAAAATGCCTTTTTCTAAATGTCTTAAACTTAATTTATAATACTAATTAATGATAATAGATGATTTTGAATAAAAGCAGAAATAAACTCTTGCCTTATTTCGCTCAATTCTTATGCTTTAATTTGACATATGGTGCGCCAATAATCTTCACATCGGATGCATTTTTCGTTGTGGCTTTATGGACCCTGTTAATGGTGTGTCTCTCCTTCTCTATTTTCTGCCAACTATTGAAAACTAATTTTTTGTTCTAATATTTCAGGAGAATTACTCAGTGATGCTGAATTGTCTGCCTTATCATTAAGGAAAAGGCACAAAATTGCAACAAGCACAGATCTGGTTGAACTGGCTACTGCTGCCCAAAACGCTGTTGATTTTGTCAATTCAAACTCATGCACGAAATTGCGCGAGATTGTTTCCCAAATGCTCTCTTTAAAAGATCGTGCCGTTGAGGTCTTGGAAGAAGCCACTCGTGATGCCCAGCTTCATCAAGCCATGTGTAATATGGTAAAACGTCCTGGATGTATCTTCTATTTCTACAGAAAGACTGATGATTCAGGACTAGTGGCGTCAATCATCTCTCCTTCGGAATGGGGAAAGACTTGTCCTTACGCATCATTTTTTGGAGCATTTCTGTTACAAAATGACCAGTCATGGATACCAGTGGAGCGGCTCAAGAACAAAACCAATAGACAAATGGAAATCGCTTCTCTTGTTGATCGCCTTCGAAATCAGCCTACTTTTTTAAATGCACTTACGGATGACAATCATTGAGTTCTACTGTTCTCAGTTTGACTTTCGCTTGAATTTTCCATGCAATTTCTTTAAAATGACTTCATGCCTTTTGGAACCGCACTATCCGTTTATTTTTCTAGAAATGCTACCTCGATCTTGAAAATGAGCTTGATATTTTCACAATTTAGGGGTCTGGAGAATGATTTCCTCCCATGGCCCAATTTCGATATCGCCGTTTTTACCCACATGTGAGAATTTAAATGTCGCAAGCATCACACTACATATGTGCATATATATATATATATATATATATATATATATGTAGTTATTGAAGTGGATGTTAAATTTTGTGCTGACACAAAGCCTCCCTCTTGACCGATGGCCTTTTATCACCTTTTGTATGCTATTCTGCAGTTTGTTTTTTATCCAACATAAACTTACGTCCCTGATAATTGGGGGTGGTTTTCTTTGTCAAAGACTCCTAATACTGTTGTGTATATATTGGTTTTTAAATTTTTATTTGTAAATTTTGAAATATGTTTCTGTTACACTTTATGGTGCCGCCTTTTTAATTCAGTGTTGCTCGCGAATAGGGACGAAAAGTTTTCAATCATTTCAATTTTGTTGTATCAGGTTGCTCTACGTTTCATTTTCTTTACTTGAGTTTGCTTAGTTCCTCGTGTAAACATAGTTGATATTTCGCTGTTTTAGAGCCCATTTTCACGGCTTTTTAGGCCATTGATTGAGCTGCATTGTAAAGTGGTATGGTTTGTAATAATCTATACTTCTTGTTATTTTTCATACTGTGGCTTAAGGGGAACATAGGGTCCTACCATTACTTCCTTTCTCCATCTTGGGAATAGATAAGTGATTGAATGTCAGGTTAGACCTCTCCCGGGTTTAGGCACTCAAACAAGTCAATGCTCAATGGATAAATTCGGCAATAATTTTATCTGATTCCTTCTAGAACTTTAAAAATATCTGCTTTATTTTCCTGTCAGTTCTAATCTGCTACTCACTTGTTTATAAACTAGGAGGTCTAGTTGGAGTTCGCCCTTGCATATCCATACCATTATGGGGAAAAGTTGCTACTCACTAAATTTTGATTTTGTGATCCGATGAAGGTCAGACCTCATTTTGTGCTGGTGGGGAACTATGCGTTTTGGATGGTCAACCACTAGTCGAGATTAAATCAGTTGATGAAGTAATCCTGATGATGAATTTAAGTAAAATTTTTGATTTTATGCCATATTTTGACTTTTGAGCTTCGTCTACTATTTCTTTTCTCTAATGTCCATTTAGTAACGATGGAAAGTTAAAATTTCTGCGACGTATGCAATTTAGACTGTTAATTGGAAAGCACCCTGGTTCGTTCCTCATGCAATGAGCCCATGAGAAGCCGTTATTTGTGATGTGCCCAGGCGTAATTTTGGGCTACTTTAATTCTTGTACTTTCAACAGTGCTATACGCCTACTTCCTACATATCTGGGCTGTAGCTTAGCTAGTTCTGGGAGTCTGGCTAGACGTAAGGGAATCTGCCACAGAGATTCCTGTGTCAGTCAGGCTTTACTAAGGTAGCTATCCGTTGCAGTGGTAAATGCTTTTTGTTTGCTTTCCTTAAAAGATTTCACTTTCGTACAGAGAATGCATGTGGTTGTCGACATTTAGAAACAGATTTTGAGACCACTCGTCTCAGTCGTCAGTCTTCATTTGAAGGTTACTGATTGGACAGGGTTTCTCCCAAATAACCTCTTAATTTTTGTTTAGTAAACCAGAATTACATTCCAGCCACTTTCTTACTGTTTGTTTAGAGAATCTACTTGAACCATAATAGTTTCTTTGATTTTTAGTCCATTTTATCATTAAAGTTACTTACATTAATATATTTACAGAGGGAGATCTTTGTCTTGAAACCCAGTTGGCACTGTAATTGGAGTTGTTGTCTCTATCATAAAGCTTCACATACCTTTGACCACCCTGAGCGCGTTCTATCCTGTTATAATCCGCTAATCTTGCTTCCCCTGACAAACTACTATTAGCGTTACATCTCCCTGCGATTGTCAAGGTATCAAGCCGCTAATCATAAAACAGCGTTTCTACTAAATTCACAAGGCCGAACCGTTGAATTGCTAATCTCATCTTCAAGGTCGTTACTTGGTCTTTCCTTGTCCCTGTTCTGCTAAGTGCTTCCTATTACCGCCTGGCGAGTTTGCTAGCCTGTCCTACTTGCAGTGTCTCAGTGGCAACGCGCTTAGTGGTTTTAAATGCAAGGTCTAGATTGTGAATTTAATTCTTTTAATGGCATGCCTTTATGTTTAAGTCGTGGGGTATGCGGTAGACTTACCTTCACGTGGAACACCCTGGTCAACGTATACTCATACGGCAAAAAGTCTATTAACCGGCAGTTGACTTCTCACTTCAAACTACCATCACCCCACTGTATGCCATAGCCGACCACTTCCACGGTACTACATCACATTTTTTCTAAATTTTCAACCTCCGTCTTTGAAGCACTCTTTAGTTCCTCCCCCCCCCCTCTCGACTTTTTTCAATTCGATGTGACTTCCTCTCTGTGAAGCCTGAAGTCAACTATAGGGCTAATGAAAACCATCAGAACGCCTGCCATTTGATATAAATAAATGTTTAAGTCGTGGGTGCTTTCGTTTTATCTCTCTATATTACTCATTCAATCATTTTGATCGGAATAGATTTTGTCACATTTTAGGTCTTATTTTTTGCAAGATTTGCCGCCTTTTAAGGAGTTGCGTTTTCTTATCAGTTTCAAAAGGAAGAAACTTTATTTTCTTAC